TATTCCTGCTCTCTGTTTTTATTTCTGTACTATACAATATAAGAACATGTATGGATCTTTAATTTTGACTGTTTAATGCAATATTAAATGATAACCTGCATCCTCTTACATTCTGCTCAGCTGGGTGGGTGTTCTCCAGCAGCAGCAACTGTCAAAAGGAAGGTCTCAGATTAATCAAATCACCTTTACCCCTCCTTCAAGAGGAGCCTTTAAACAAACACATGAGTAGTTTTCCAGGGCAACATCATGCAGTGAAAGAGAAGAAGGCGAAATTATATATGTTTTCCTGGCTGTGCAGCGTGGGCACAATGGAAATGAGCTCAAACATGTTTTGACTGCAGCCTGACATATTTGGGAGTCTTGTTGAATGACAGGGACACTTTGCCAAATGTGCTGGGTAGCGAGATGCCATCTATAAGCTGACACATCTGACTTATTTCACTATAAATAGCCAAGATCTCTTGAGTGCACCAAAAAAGTTAACAGTTGCAAAACAAAAGGAACAAGCTGGTTAAGATTGGGACAAACTGAATTATCATTAGAATAGAACCCTAGAAGAATTTACAATTTTTCTCTCATTCTCGGAGACACACACAGCCTTAACCGTAATGGATAGCTAAGATGCTATTTTTAGGCCTTGCCAGGCATTATAGATATTTAATCCATTTGAACCTCTCATATTGTGCATTTTATTGATATTTTATGCTCCCGACCAACACAAAGCAGTGTGTAGTTGTGGAATATAAGTTAAATACATGGGAAATATCTATTTGTATCTGCAAATCTTTTGGGTTAAATCTTGAGCAGCTTTTTGCATCTAAAGAGGGAAATTCTTGTCAATTATTCTCCAAGATGGAGATTATCCCTGAACATAAATTTAAAGTCTTGCCAATTTAGTTATGGCACATGAATGTGTTTTCTTCCACTCTGTTGTTGAACATCTGCTAGTTTGGAATCCTCATCTTTCTAGGAATTTAACATTTGTTCACATTTACCCGTTCCAATCTTTAGTAAATGCAAAAAAAAAAAATTAAAAATCTCCAGCTGAATCAAAACAAACTAAAGTCTTCATTTTTGGATGAAAGTAATAGCATTTAAAACACACAGCTTCAATCAATACAGATATAAACCAACAATCGGTCCAAAAACCTTGGTTAAGTGATAAAGTAAGACCTGAACCTACAAACGCACATAAAGGCAGAAACAAAGTTCCCTTTCTATCAACCAATATATGTATTTTTTAACCCAACTGCTAGGTTGAGGATGTTGGATAATTTAATTGGGTTGTTTTCAGTGAATTGGGTATTCTGAGAACCAATTTGCTGCATTATTTCTGTTGGGCATTAAGTTATAAACTGTTGGGTTCTGATTTCTGTTATGTTGTGTTGGTTTATTTTGGACATCCCAACACCTTGATGTTCAAGCAAGTACAACACAGCACCACCCACTAATTGTACCTCAACAACATCTGGTGAGACCCGACCGAACTAATTAAATTCAGTACAGAACAAGGTTTGTCACATACTCAGCTTTTTTTTCTGACCTTATTGATTATCTTATATTATATGAAGCTTCACATAGCTGTGAAAATGTAATTTTGTAAGGCACTGTTGAGTACTAGCTTCAGGACTCGATTGGAAAGCTGGCTAGAAAGTCAGCAGTTAGCTTCAACAGTAAAGAGTTTGCTTTTTTTAAAGCTAAAAATCAGAAATAACTTTTTCAGGGGTGATGCTAAAAAAAAAAAATCACTATTTATTTCTTCTAGGCTTCACTATTGTAATTCTTTACTATCAGACATCCTCTCTACTCTTGATAAAGCTTATGGTTGGAGTAGCTCAGGTTATCTTAAGCTATAGCTATACACTGCTATAGACTTAGGCTGCTGGAGGACACAGGCACCACTTTTCATAATTCTGTTTCATTAGATCACTTTTCTATTCAACCCATAACATATAATCTCCCTTCCTTTTCTCACCTGGTAACAGACCAGCTTCTTCTGGTTTGTTACTGATTTGCAGTGACGGTATTCCGTAGAGAAATATCAGCTATGCTGCTTTTTTAGTGCTTAGTCCTGTTCCTCTCCTAGTCACAGTAAAAGCTGAGCCCATAGCTCATAGCCTATAGCTTATCTCCTTTGACATTAAAAGTGTCTCAGAGATTGTCAGCTTAACTGTTTCTTTACTAGACAGAGCCACCCGAGGAGCTAGTTTTATTGATCTCACACTGGGGAAATGTATTTGTTATATTGGCTCAATAGTCCAAAAGAAGAAAAGGTGCCAAAAGGAGGAAAAGGTGCATGGTGGTACATACAGTATATACAGTACATCCACATATGTGGATATAAAACTGCTTTAGTCTCTTATTTAGCTTATTTAGCAGGATTTTTATACAGGGTTATTGCACAAGGCATTAAATGGGTATTTATATATAAAGCTAGTGCACTTGTTATCAAATCTAAAAACAGGTAATTACACAGGGTATTAAATAGTAATTGTGCATTAGATATTGCACAAGTTATTGCTGTTGTAGTGTCGCATTGTAGAGCCTTGTTGCCGCAGGGATGAATAACGATGCAGAGGGAGGAAGGTGCTGTCCATGATGGATGGAAGCTTGGACAGCACCCTCCTCTCAGCTACTTCCTCCACTGAGTCCAGAGCACAGCCTAGGACAGAAACAGCCTTTCCCTCCAGTTTGTTCAGTCGCTTTCTGTCCCGTTCTGAGCTACCAGGGGCCCAGCAGACAACGGCATAGAGGAGGGCTTAACATAGAAAGAATCCCAGAATCTCAAGAAAAAAAATCTTCAAAATGTTTCTGTCAATTTATAAATTACAAAATGACTTATCACCAAAATGCATTGCAGACTTTGTGGTCAGTGTATGAAAGACTCAGACCTCTCAGGTATTCTGGATCCAATCTACATAACCAGAACCAAATATGGAGAAGCATCTTTTGGTTCACCTACAAAAAGTGTAAATGTGCTGAAACACTAAGTTGCTTTAAATTGTACTTGTTTGGGTTGAGTTGCCTTCAATTGTGCAATCTAAACATCATTAGTTTGGTTTTCAGCCTAACTTCCCTTTTAATATTCCGTATAACATCCTTAATTTAACTAGCCATTTTCATTCTCTTTAATTATTTATTCTGCTTTTATGCCACTGGAATGTATTTTTCTCTTTCTTTTATTTCCAGCTATCCAGAACTCTGGATTATCTTGGCACTGAAATGTGCTACATAGATAAACTTCCCCTGCCTGGGTCTTGAGTCTTTTCCAGTCAAAGAGTTGATCTCCTGTTATCCAGAATTTAGCTTCATTCATCTTAAAAAATAATCTTAACCAGTTGCCAAACATTATCCTATTACCATCATCCTGTTTCATTCAGAGGATGGTGAATTCAGGGTGATTTTCATCGTTTTTTTTTTTTTTTAACCAAACATAGTGTTGGGTATGAGGGCAGCAACTATTTTCAAAAAATATTCCCATTTGACCAAATTGTCTGTTTGCTGCGCTCCCTACTTGGCCATTACAAAACTGGAAATTGTATTTCTGGTTTTATTCTAACAAATTTCTTTTTTCTTCCAAGATTTGTGGATTTTACAACAAATACTTGTCATGAAAGAAGGAGGAGATCCCAGATACTTGCAGCTGAGGTTCCTCAGCAAGAAGCCAAAATTCAACCTTAGATATCGGGTAAAAAGATCCGTGAACCAGGGATAGCTCAGAGTACAGCTGCTGCTCCTCCACACTAAAAGAAGCAGTCAAGATGGTCTAGAATCAGGATGCCTGCAGGATGTTTCTCTTATGAGGATTTTTTGAGCATTTACCGTTGGAATGAGACACAGCTGTACATCAAGAACACACTGTAGGGATAATAAAGTTCTTTAGGCCAAGGGTTACCTTGGGAACTTCCAGAATGAATGTGAGAGTGTTTCTAAAGAGAGTTACATAAAGGTATGTCTAAGTTTTTCTAGTTAGCCCTGAAATCGGATTTTTTATAGAAGAAAATTCATAGCGTTTTCCTGTCGACAGATAATCTTTCCTAAGCTGTTGATCAGGGGCTCTTCCAGAGTTACCATGGAGCTTTTGCCTGCTTCTTTTATAATTTTTCTCCTTTCCTGGTTTGTCAGTTTAGACTTAGATGAAGGGCATAATAGTGTGTTTCCAGTCATGCTATATTATTTTCATTACAGTTACACTGCAGTTACACTGCAAAAAAAGAGATGCACACATCAAGGCAAATAATAGTGAAGATATCCAGTAAGAAAATTAGCTTTTGCTAGAAAGGAAGGAAATATTACCCTGCCATTAGTCTGTTTAAGCCTGCTTGACCACAAAACCAGCCTTTACCAATCTACAGCTGTACAATTTGCAAAGCACCCCTTAGATGCCTAATCCCCAAACCCCATCTTTGAACTACTATTTGAAACATGCATGCAAAACATGCATTAATAAAACCCCAACATAAACCCACCCATAAACCATATGCATTATTTATTACAATGGCACAACTGAAATTTATAACTGGTTCTGGGTTGCTGTACTTGATTTGATATGGAACTGCTATATATTCAAGCTCATTCAGGCTCATTGGAAATTAGTTACACAAAGGTATTGATTAGGCGAGTCATCATATTTCTGTTATAAGCAATATGATGAATCACCCTCTCTGAAGACAAATTAGCTCAGAAAGTTTCATCAGTATCCTCCTATTGGAATTTAAAATTGAACGGACACTTAAAACAAAGCATTCTCCTTTCGCTTGATTTCATTTTGTGTGAAAATGCATTATATCCACCAAGCTGGTTAGAGAGATTCCTCTATAACTTGCAAATTTGTGTTAAGAATAAACAAAATAAAACATGCAAAGAATTATTTGAATTGCAAAAACATGACTTTTTTGCATTTTTTTAGCTCCTCTTGTGTAGAGAGGGCGATGAATGATCAGCCTCAATGGATGTTTTATATGATTTGCAAGAAAATAACAGCAGTCTGAGCATCTTACCTACAAACATAACCCCTTCTTTGGTCTTTTCGGCTGCCACTGCAACTCCTTCCTTGGTCTTCTCTGCAGCCACAGCCATCCCCTCCTTTGCTTTAGACAAACCCTTCATAAACACATCCATCTTGGCCGAGCTACTGTGGAAAGATGGACCATATGAACAGTTAGTCACAATCACAGGCCACACACTGGAAAAAATCGAAATCTAGATAAGTCATTTTTTCTTAAAATAACTACATTTGTTCTTGGATTGAGGAGGTAAAAGACACATTTTGCAAATGGAACATGACGATTTACATTTAAAATAGGAAAAAACAATTG